TGAAATTTTAGGGTAATGTTCCCTGCCCAAGTACAATTTAAGTATTTCAAATTCAGCGGTTCTTACATACGAGCACTTAAAATTTTGGCTGAATTTTTGGCTAAACAACTAGGTTACATTTAAAGAATAATCGTTAAATGGAAATCGTACATTTACTTTATGCAAAATTTATGGTGATTTATGTTAGTGACCGCAAAAGGTAGGCGTAAAGCAACAACCATTCATGCGATTAATGACCTGGGTACTTCAAGTCCAGTGCAAAAAACGCATGATCGCATGGGCACGCCCGGTGCGTTCCAGCCTGGGTTCATTTTACTGCTCTGCAAGCAATAAATGACGGCTTTGTTAACGGCGCCTAATGAAGAAAGTGATAGTTGAAAGAAAAGAAATGGGCGAAAGTGGCAGATTAAGCTCGGATGTGGCTAACACGCTAATAGTTGATGATCCGGAAAAAGATGGATATGAACCGCCTCCTAGACATGAATGCCGTCGTTTTTATGACGTTGCAAGCGTTGTAATTTCATTGCTCTTGGTCTGTAAAGAAACACAGGAATAACAGCATAATTAATTGCGGGCCACTGAGAGCTGTGCGCACATCATTTAGTACCACATGTAGCTGTCAAATGAGAGCGGTCTTCGGACAGTACTAACCTGTTGCAGACGGACCCTGAAAGAAACTCACAAAATTTACTGCTGACCCAAAGCAACATCTTGAGATCTCCAGTCTCAACAAGTACGTTCACTGTTCACGTACGGGTCTGTAGCTTTGAAATGAGTTTCTCGCTACGTATATGTCTCGCACACGAACGTGTTCAATTTGCTATACTATCGCCATCATTATCTTCTCTCTCCCTCTTATTTTTCAATAATATTAGCATACCCATACGCAAACAAGCGCACGTATTATCCTCCGCTAATGTCTACGTCCCGCATACCGATACAGCAAAATTCAGGCTTCAGAATTGCTGGCATCCTCGCATCTCTTTATCCGGATGAAATGGCAAGTTACATTTCTAAGTGAATATTCCGTGATTAAGAGACTGCAGGAGCAAAAAGTAAGTATCTGTGTGCATCTATATTTCACCAAAGGAACACTTCTCTGCTCTTGTGTGGGTAAGCGTAAAAGACGCTCAGTAAAGCCAACGCGACCACAAATCGTATCAGCACAGCATTAAACACCTGCAGGAAACTGTGCAAAAACGTAAGACCATCCCACTTAGCCTGGTGTCTTCCAGTCTGGGTTGCTTATTGCTGGGAGCAAGTGATCTTGCTCTCCCCTTCGAGAACGTTCCGACATAGAACCCGGATCCGGAGGGTAAATCGACTGGAGAAGTTTAGGCCAGTGTATTGCCTATCGACAGAACTGGGCGGGCCGACACAAGGAGACGACATCTTCTAAAGGAGCAGTTTCCACAGTGGCTCGAAGGAACGTAGAGTGTGAAAGCCTTGCGGACGGTGCTGACCGTGTAACCCCGGTCAGCACCAACCGAAGAACTATAGACTCGGAGCTCGGTATTGCTGTTGTACTAATAAAATCGAACTCGACGTGTGTAGAACGGACACAACATTTATATGCAGTGCAAAAGCACATATTGTGACGAACCATGGTGGGCGTA